ACCCATCTATACTTAATTCATTCCTGCCACATTCTTGGAAGGCATCCAGCTTGGTGCTACTCGAACATTTAAGCACCATCCATGTGCTAGGCACTGTTGTGCAGATACTTGAGAATATAACCAGTATCTTTTCCAATGCACGTTACCAAGGATGTCTGAGGAGCAGTGCTTATTCAGCCAGCACAAATTCTCACCCAGGCAGCTGCCCAGGGCTCCTGTGCCAGCCACAGCATCCTCTCCCAAAGACCACTTCTGAGTTTCCCATCATGCTTATTTCCCAGTTCCATAACCTCCAAGCTCCTGGGAGTGACATCAGTGGCAGCAACAGCAGGTGGGTGACTGCTGAGCTTGTAGGGCAGCTCCACATCTCCAGGGTTTAAGAAAGCCCACATGTGACCTGTCCCCCAGCAAATGGTGACTCGAGAACAGACCTTCAGCAATTGCATGGATGGTGGAAGATGAATTACCATCTGCCATGGCTTTAAATTACTTGGGGCAGTTCTAGCTCAAACAGAATGGGGAGCTAGGAAAATGGAATTGATTCTAATCTTTTTTCCATCTTGAAAAGCAGTAAGAAGTAGTAATGGGGTAAGGGAGGGTTGTGTTCTATGAACTGTGAAATAAAAGGAAGGAATTGGCTATAAAGCCAAGGGTTTGGTGAGAAATAATTCTCAGAAAATGCTGCCTCTGCGGTAGCCCTTGGTGGACAAAATACAGTTTGAGGCATAAATGCCCTAAATTTCCTCATTTGACAGATGCTATCAAAATGTTTCAGGGGGTATTTTAATATTTATGATTTTTATTTTCAAGAAATCTTACTTTTTTCTTGCTGTGTAGGCACACAATGCCAGCTTTGAAGTCATGAGATTAAAATCTGGCATGATTACTTCAGGCTCAATGTAGTTAAAATTGAGTTTATTATCTCTGACTAGAAATTTATCCTTCTGCCTATATTCTGAGTGCAGTTACTAGCCCGTTCATTCAACCTGCTAGCCAGGACAGACACCTGTAATTCTCTCATAGCCTGCAACAAAGCTACCAGTGATTATCTGTTGATTTTGTATTTTAAATAGACACTGAGCCAAAAAAAAAGAAATATAATGAACCATTTCTGAACACCCAGAAGCTGGCCTCAGTGTAATTACTAATGTAATTACTAGTGTAATTATTAATCCAGCTCTCAAAGTGGGCCATGTTGTCTCTTTGGACATAACAATCTCACAGAACAGCACCATCAGACAAGGTCACTCTGAGATCATGGTAAAGTAAGTCAAAGACAAAATCACTGTGAAACCTACAAGACTCCACACATCTGCATCTCCCTAAAATGAGTGGCTGCTGCTGTTATACCAATTACAGCCTTATTTCTGCTCAGGTCTGCCCTCCCCATTGAAATACTGGATTGTGAAATCTCCCTCATTTTCTGACAGCATCCAATCTAGAGTGGAGACCCACTTCCCTAAGTGTCTCCCCAGAATCATCCAACAACAGCCCAGATCTTATGATAGGTTTTCTCTAACCTCCCCTTAATGAGCCACCTGTGGTCCCCCTTGTGTGTGTTTCCTCTTACTGGAAACAGAAATAAACCCAACTGGTTCTCCCACACAGATGTTTTGCTGGTGGACTGGTCTATAGATATTGACACCATTTCTCTCCTTACCATTTTTAGTTGAATTTTGTCCTTTATTCCCACCAACCTATCATACTGCAGCAACTGTATCCTGTGTGTTTTCTAGGCTCCCATGTTTTTCCTCTCCCATTCTTCTTTCATGTTGTCATGTGTCTTAGTTACTTTTCTCTCTGTGCTGTGACAAAATACCCAATACCCAAAGTTAAAGGAGGAAAGTTTTATTTAGCTCACAGTTTGTAGAGGTTTCAGTCCATAATCAGGTGGTTACAATGCAGGGTGGCATGACAGAGGGGCATCGCAGAGGAGGAACAGTCCATGGCAGGCAGAAGGCAGCAAAGCAGTGAAGTAGCAAGCAGCAAGCAACAAATGACAAGCAGGGACCCTCTTTCTGTCCCTTATATCCTGTCCAGTCCACACACCCTTAGGGCAAGTAGCACTCACACCCAGGGTGAGACAGTCTTAATCCTAGCATTGAACCAGAAATCAACATCAGCATCACACATCCTAGATCCAGCCAACTTTAAAATGCCACACCTATGACCACATGAGGCTTTGAGGGGACATCTAAACACAAGCCATAACACAATGAGACTCTTCTCCATCCCCACCAGTGGATTACATGAGACTATTTGCTTATCAAACATGGGGCATAGAAATCAATGTATTGACAACATAAACTCCCAGAGAGGTAAGATGTTTTGACTTGGTTTTTTATGACTTAGATAACTTCCTTTCTTAAAATATAGTTCATTTGCCTGCAAATATAGTTCATTCAGCTGCAAAGTGAGTTCAAGGCCAGCCTCAGGTAATAGTTAATAATATCTTTTAATATACACAGAGTTCTTATAAATCAATATTAAATAAATAGTATCCCCATATCATATGGCTGATGGGAGTGGATATGCAGTTCACACAAGAGATTCTAATGGCCAAAAAATTTAAGACAATATGTTAAGCATTATTATGAAAAAGGTTGAAATAAATATTAAAAGTAATTTTTTTACTTTCCAAATAGCAGATTTTGATGCACTGATTTCAAACTCGCTCATATTTTCAAACTGTTTTTTATGCTCATATTTTCAAATAATTTTGATTACAAAAGCCTATTTACTGATAGCCAAATGGAAATGTGGCATTCTGTAAATAGGTTCATGAGCGAAGCAATCAATATAGGTAATAGATTGAACCTTATGAAGCTGCCAATATTTGACCAATTAATCTACAAAAATGGCAATTTGCTGTGCATTAACCTAATATATGTGGGACATGAACTTGCTAGCAACACAGAACAGAATCACAGACATTGATCTGCCATATATTTGGGGGGAAAGTCAATTTATATGTTAAAAAGTCTAAACTTACAATCTCTTCAGATTGCTAACTTTCTCTATACAGCTAGCTAGATGGAACCAGGATTTCAGGTTTGAATTTGGAGGAAAATGGAGAGGATGCTTGTTCAGCATGTTTGGCCCTGAGTCACATGCCTGACTCAGGTTGACTGGGGGAGCTGGGTTGGAGATTCTGTGCAATCAGTAACTCTTCTTGCCCCAACCATGGGGGAGAACTAAGGTCAAAGCGCTCCTCAGCGGATCCATGTTTCCCTTTGGACAAATTCAAGCTGTAGTGGGTGGCAGATAAAAGTGGCTTTCGCTTTGACCTTGAGTCTCACCACTCTCAATCCTACTAAGGCAGAGACAGATTGGGGCTCCTCTTCCAGAATATACAGTTGTTTTGAGAAAAAGTTCCCAGCTAGGAAGCTCATCTTCAGTGCACCAGAGGGAATGATGTGCTATGGCTTGGGTGTGCCCCACAAAAGTTCATGAGCTGGAACCTCAATTCCTCAATCAATCAGTGTTGGGAGGTGGTACCTAGTAGAGGGTATTGGGGTTATGAGGGTAGAGCCCTTCTGAATGGATTAATGCCTTGGCCTGAGATTGGGTTAATTCTTTTTTTTTTTTTTTTTTTGGTACTGGGAAATCGAGCTCAGGACCTTGTGCTTATGAGGCAGGCAAGGTTAATTCTTGAAGTAATATGTAACTTCCTATCTTGGAAGTAATGGGTTCATTACCTAAGAGAAGGTTGTTATTAAGCAAGGATTCCTCTCATGTTTTGTCTCCTCCAGACATGCCCACTTGCCCTTCTATCTTCTGCCGTAGGTTGAGCCAAAAGCTGTGAGGAGTGGCTGATGCCAGCTACTTGATTTCCCAGCCTCCAGAACTATGAGCCAAAATGAACTTCTACTCCTGATAAATTATCCTGTTTCAGGCATTCTGTTATAGCAACAGAAAACAGACTAAGACACCATGTAACTAGCTCTGGCCAGTGAATACCAGTAGGGCTTACATGTGACACTTCATCAGAGAGGTCTACTCTCTCTTCTCAGTCTGCTGGCTGGATGTCACCAGAGTGACCTTGAAGCCACAAGGCTAAGTTAAACTGGGTTCTAGAATCACCCTCTGGAAGAAAGATAACCTCTGGAGTTACCAGAGCAAGAACTTCTACATTGCACCTGGCATGAGTGAGAAAACCCACTGAAATGTGGGTTGGTTTGTTATATCAGCACTCACCCTAGCCCACCTTAATAGCCTTACCCTTTAACATTCAGAATCGCCAATTGTGCCCTCAACTTACCAAATGTTTTCACTTGGCCTGACTTCGAAATCTCTGTTCTATCTATCTAAGACACCTTCTCCCTTTTCCACCTGAAAAACTACAAAGACTCTGATTGAGTTATGCCTGTTCTGAGTCCTTCGCTATCTTCTTCAGGCCATTGGTTTTTTTCCTCCTTCATATTTTTGTACCATGGTTTTGTCAAACCATGATAGATGACAGAGTTATCTTCTCAAAAGATGGTGAGCTCTTTAAATAAATGCAGGTACTAGGTCTGGTTCTTGAAGTTTGGAGTACCTCTAATAGTGTCCGAGATATATGACCTCTCCACACATGGGTTTTGGATTAGTCTGAGCCATTGGGTATGTGAAGGTTTTGTGGTTGCATCTCTTACTTGGCGCATGGCTGGTGGAGCCTGTCTGAATTTTATCAGAGAGACTGGGTTGCTGCCTCTATGTCCTCTTAGAGCGGTGCTGCTCTTGAAATCAGTAAAGCACTTAAAAGAAATGGTCAGAATAAAGAATGGGGCCCTATCATTTGCCTTTTCCTATTCACTGAAAGCTACAGGAAAATCAGCCTTTTTTATTTCTCACGTTTTTAATGCTGCCAATCATGCTTAGTATGTCTTGCTGGCCAGCCACAGGAAGTTTGGATCTCTCCCACAGTTCCAGCCAGAGACTTTGTAGAATTCTTATGTTTCTCTGTAAAATTTGTATGTTTTGGAGGGAACAGTGAAGGAATAAAAAAAATCAAGATCAAATGAAATGAGAAATGCTTTAATAGGAATGTGTCTTCCTGAGTTTCTAACATAGCTTATAGATGAAAATACTGCTTTTGTAAAAATGGAATGCTATTGGTTACATGAGGCCCAGTCCTCCTCCAAGTCCCTCATGCCTTGGGGTTGGTGACGACTGCGGTGGTGGAATAAGAGTAGGGGCTGAGCAGGGCTGCGATGGTATAGTGGCGCTTGCCAGAGTCATTTGCTGTGAACACCACCTAGGAGAGAAGACATACAGAGCCATTTCTAATAGATCCCCAAAGTGTGAGTCACAGAGATAATCAGAGAGACCCCTGGAAGTCCAGTGCCAAATTAATTATTTCTATTTTGTTATTTAATTTCTTTGGGAACAATGAGAGCAAGAAACATGAATTCAAATATGCTTACAAGCTAAGCTGCGCCTTGTGGAATTCTTAGAGAAGACTTCTTCACTGCTGCCTGGACTGAGTGGCTATAGCGTGACTGATGGGAGTTACAGAGAGCCTTAAGACTCCTGTCCATTTTCTTCATTTCAGAAAAGGTGGGGAGGAGGTAAACTATGATGACCAGTGATCAAAGGCCTGCTAAGAATGGTGACCACCAGTCCCACTGCAAGTTTTGAGATCTAGAATTTTAGAACAGAAAGGGACTGGTCCTCTCATTTTACTGAGAGGCAAACTACGCTTCTGAATTAATTTTTGTACTTATACAAAACGTATAAGTAGCTTAAACAGTGACAAAGCCACACCAGGAAGGTAAGTCTTCTGTCATCAAGTCCACAGGTTTTCTCGCACTGTTCCTTTGTGTTTTGTAAAGTGAAGAAGATATGCATTTTTGTGCATTTTGTTCGATATATTACAGTCAGTGAAACATGGAGTAAAAGTATTATAGGGCTCTAACTACAAGCAGCCTAGGGCTGGGGATTTAGCTCAGTGGCACCACGCAAGGTCCTGAGTTTGATTCCCAGTACCAAAAAAAAGACAAGCAGCCTGTGGAAGATCATGGTGGAATTTTGAAATGTATGTGCATGCTTCGGATCTCACTTAAGCCTATTGATTGGGCAAACTGTGGACCAAATTGTTGCTGCAGTTAATTAGTCTTGTGCTTCTCAAATTTAGAGGCATGTCTGAGACTCAGGTTCTGGGATAGTCTAGGTGCCTGGAGTGAGACAAATGGAGGAAAATTTGGTGCAGGAGAGAAAGAGAGGGCAGTGAGGATGTGCATCATTTTATTCTGTCTATTATAGGTCCCGGTTTGAGCTTTGGGTACACTCTGGATGAATAAGTTTTGTTCCAAATACTGAAAAAGGAAGCCTGATGATCTAGGGACATGAGAACAAAAGATGAGAATGAACAATACAAAAATAACACCTGGGGAAGAGAGGTGGGAATCACCTAAGAATCTCTCCAAGGAGAAAGGCAACTCCTTAAGGCCGAGTCCTCGGAGGTAACCAGGGCAAGTTTCTTATTTCTTTTGGTGACTTTGGCCTCTAGGCCCTCTTGATTTCTCATATTATGAAAGAGGCATAGCATGTGATCACAAATTCATGAAGCAAAGAGGCCTAGTAGGTCCAAAGGAAATTTTCTAATGTTCCTTAGGTCTAATGTAACCTCCCAGGTCCTGGCTAGCTCTGCAGGACGCCAGCTCTCTGGCTGAAGGCACCACACATGCATGGGGCCCGGAGTGAGGCCCTGGGATAGGCACTCCACTCCTTACTGTTTCTTGCTACCTGTATCCATTCTTGCTAATGTATCTGACATTATACCTTGGCTTTCCATTCCAAGGGCAGGGATGTGCGTTTTTGCTTCTGAATCTCTGGCATCTAGCAGAATGCTCAACACCTAGAAGACTTTTATCTTTAAAATGTTGAATACTAAAACAGTGATAAGTGGACAAGGAAGCTAAAGTGTAAAGTACAGGAACAGCATGACCATGGCTACTGTGGCAGTGAATCTGTTCAGGCTGAGGCCCAGGGCAGACTGGTCCTCAGCAGGCAGATGGAGAACCCTGGGTAGGGGCTGTGAGGGTCTTATGGTGGTCCCCTTCTAATCCTTGCACTGTCCCTGTGCTTCAGTCTTTTGCAGCTGACCATGGCAGAGAAAGGCTTCTCTGTAGATGGGCCCCCCCGGAGACTTGTGGATCCCAGAAGTTAAACAGGCCCCTACAGTTTCCCTGGTAACACTGTCTATGCAAAGAACTCTTACATGTTAATTACAGGTCTCATCCATGACTAAGCCAGAGAGAATGGTTCCCTTTCACGCCAAGTTATTTTGGATGGAATTAGTTGATCTTTAACTCTGACCAATATATATGGATTCTATTTTCATGACTGCTATCTGTTTTAAATGACGTGTGGAATTAAGACAAGGAAGAGGCAGGGATAACTGTTTCAGGATACTTATCTCATAAATAGAAAAACTGGTATAAACCAAAGTTTACACATATGGTTTTTTCTTCCCCTTGTCTTCTCACAGGGAAAAGGCTTCCTGAGGTGCTGCGAGGTATTGTAGGTCACAGGCTGAACCTGGCTGGGGCCCTGGTGGTAAATACTCCAGTTCCCCCAGTTACTAGCCACGTGACCTTGGACAGGTTATTTAATTTCACCATGCCTCATTTTCTTCATCTGTGACATGGGGATAATAATAATACTGATTCCAGTGGGTGCATCATGAGGATGAAACGGGCTAAGTTCAGACAGAAACCACTTACCAGTGTGTGGTCCATGACATACACCTGGTGAATTTATCTATTGGGTTGTTGTTTTGAATTGATTGTCTTTATATGCATTGTAAGAATTGCTTAACCAAAACTGAGAGGTTAGATGTGTTTGGAATGGAGAATTTTTCAGGTCTTAAAGAAGTACCATGGTGCATCCTCTCTTTTGTTACAAATGGCTTTCATGGGTTCTGAAGATTTTCTTCTGAGTGTTGTAAATTTCTAATTTTGAAAGGGAGAGGAAACCAGTGTTTTTCAGCACTTTCCTTCTGACATCCTGTGGTCTGCTGACTGCAAACTGTGGTCCCTGGGACTAAAAATGAAACCAGAAACAACTCTCAGGAAGCTGGACACTCACCTCTGCGTATTCATGGAATGGGGAAATGCCAAGCGCCGTCCAGTAAGATTTGGTATCTAATTCCACTTTGTACATTGCTTCAACAAAGTCCCTGTCGGTTGTGAGCCCGTGCAGCTCTCCAGTTTCACCAGTTTTTCTACAAGGTGTGAAAGTCCAGGTTAAGTTAGGCTGAAAGTAGTAAATGGCATGGCAAAGAGAGTGTATGTGTTTGTGTGTGAGATCTATATCCTCTCTCTCTCTCTCTCTCTCTCTCAATTTTTTCCCTCAACCAAGTCAGGAGGGAGAAAACTCTAGTACCTCTGACATTAAAGGGCAAGAAATATGTAGAAACTTTTCAAGTTTCCATTTTTCCATTGTAGATTTATACTCTTATGAGAACATAATACAGGTATAATGTTTACTTTAAAAAGTCCTGCCTGGTGCAACATGAATGTAATCTGGGCACTCGGGAGGCTGAGGCAGTAGGATCACTGCAAGTTTGAGGCTAGCCTGGGCTACATACTGAGTTCAAAGCCAGCCCGAATTACATGCAAGAATTTGTCTTAAAAGTAAATAAAAAAAGAGTGCTAAGGGCTGAGGGTAGGACTCAGCAGGATGGTTCTTGGTGAGCTCACATAAAGCCCTGGGTTACATCCTCAGCACCAAAACCAAAACAATTGGGATTCAGGATTGGTGATTGTATGAATGTTCATGAGCCCAGAAGTGGCTCTGAGCTGCCCAGTTCTCTGTGATACCAGTGTTTCACTCCTGACACCCATAACACAAGTGCACTTTTCAGAGATAGTATCATTTGTACCCAGAGTAGGCAATCTAAAGTACAAAGAGGAACCTGCATCTGACTCTTTGTCCCTTTATATATTTAATCTCTTTGGTATTTCCTAGCCAACAAAAAAATACCAGATAACTTCCATTTCCACACAGGGACCAATGGAATAGCTGAAATGTTAGAAATTGCTTTCCTTTCAACTCTAAATGCTAAAACAGATAAAAGTGAAAGTTGTCTTGAGTCATTCTAATCCTGCCTGCCCTTGTTTCTTCTTTTTACTTCCTCTTTTCATGTGTGTTTTTTTACAAGAAAAAAAGATTCACAAGCATCTCTGAATATTTTTTGGTGTCTCTTCTATCTCCCACTTAAAATATTCTCTTAACCATTTTTCATGTTGTGCCTGACATTTTATATACACAGAACTGAATTAACAAATAGGAACTTCAACTAAAACCATACCCCAAAAATGATCTGCCCAATGACAGGTGAAGACTCATCATATGGTTCTGAGGATATATTAAAATCCAACAGAAGTTCTTCTCTCAGGAGGCTTAAATGTTTAGCAGTTCCTCTTCTGCTTAGCACTGGGGGGCTTTTTCTGTTGCTCTTCCTTTCAGTCTGTTCACTTAGACTCACTAATATGCATTTCCTTTGAAATTTTTGCTAGTAGAGTTAAAAAACTCCATAAGAATTGTAAAGTGGCCAACGAGGGTGAGAAGTCCTCTTTGCACTGATAGTGGGTGATGCAAGATTCATGGGCAGCTGGACGTTACCTTCCATGTTCTTCTCTTAGATGTTTTTTCTTACTAAGCTTGGCAGCCGCCAGCCTTGCACATAGTAAGGGCTCCAGCATGTTCATTAGACAAAAGCCCTGGACTCTGGATGATCCAAATAAACTCCAAGGACCTGTCAATGCTGTCCCTCAATTCCTTTCCTTTCTTTAATAAATTAACGCACATCATGAGTCCTTCCTAAAATTCTAAGAGAAGGACTCTGTCTTGGCTGTCACCCAGGAGCACCAGGGAATCTGTGAAACTCCTGAAATGACATATATGTCTTTGTACGTATGTGTGTGTGTGTCTGTGTGCATTTTTCTGGACATGGAATCTATTGTTTTCATCTCCTTCTTCGAGTGGTTTGTGACCCAAAAGGGTTGCAAACTCCTGCTAGAGTGGATTACAGAGTTTCTCACCCCTTTTCCTTTTTCCTACCATCTGTCCAAAATGATATTCCAGTTCCTGGTCACTCCTAGCTAAGAAAAGCAAGAAGAAGGCATTCTTCTAAGGGCACACTTAACTTGCGCTCACATTTTCAATCTGCTAATAGCTTCTTGCTTTTTTGGGTTTGGTTGTATTTGTTAGTTTGTGCATGCTAAGCAAGTGCGCTGCCTCTCAGTGACACCCCAATTCTCTACTTGTAGATTCTTTAGTAGATGATGTGAGTCTCTCCTTAACAACTGGAAGAGTGGATGGGAAGATATAACCAAGTCCCACAGCAGGGTTCTTTGGCAGCTTACTCACCCAGTGGCAAATGGCTCCCAGGTGTCATCAGCAGCTTTTCTGGACACTTTCACAACCACACCAACAGCAGGACTGCCTCGAACGGCATCTAGGACTTTGACCATCAGAGGACACTTGTCTTCGTCAGTGCTCTGGGCACACAAAAGACAAGTAAGAAGTCAAAAAAATTGATCAGAGTGAAAGGATTTATTCTTTATGGTGTTAAGAATCTGGAACAAAGCCGCAAGTGCATGCTGATCCCATTACCAGTAACACAAGTGTTGGCAATTAATGAGCTTCTTCACTCAGTATAACACAGAAATAATTATTTCCAAAGCAAGAATGGGTTCTGCCTCCAGACACACTGCTGTTGATCAACTGGGGATGTCTGCAATGAATTTCAAAGGAGAAAATAGGCCGTCTTAGAACAGTTGCTTTGTTCAGCTTCTCCATTTGAGTGGAATTACTGAAAATATTCACTGTGCTGTAGGACAAAATAATTTTTCCTGAAGTCATTTTTAAAAAAATTTATTTATCTTAATTTATTTTATTTATTTTTTTTACCTGAGATCATTTTAAAAAGTTGTTACCATAGTAATTCCCCCTTACTAGTTACTGTAAAATAGTATCAGACTACTTTCTTACCCATCTTATAACATTAGTTCTTCTAGAAGACTTAAGACTCAGTTATCTGACTAGAATATTGTTTATCAACAAATATCAATCAATACATGTATTTTGATTAGCCAAAGTGTCAGAATATAATCTATGCAGTTTGTCCCCTAAATATATTTCATAAAAGGATGCTTTTGTGAAATTCAATGTTAGCAGCCTCATTGATAGCATATCTTCATTTCTAGCATCTGCCTGAGGATATCAAGGTACTAGGAATTGCAAACTCAAACTCAATGTACCAAAACAACAGGGCAAAGAACCCCAGTCTGAGCCCTAGTTCAGCAAGGTCTGCAGGCTTCATTCTTTTTGAAGTTTGAATCAATTCTATTAAGTATCTGGAACAAAGCTGGAAGTGCATGCTGATCCTATTACTAATAGCATAAGCGTTGACAACGAATGAACTTCTCCATTCAGTTCCCTAGTATGAGTTGCCAAAGCTGGAAGAAGTCATTTCTATGTCACCTAATGTACATCTGCATTCTATAAAAGGGACTTTAAAGAATCACACACTCACCACAGGGTCAGCTTCAGACACAAATACCAGTCCAGCAAGGCAAAGGAGGAGCAGACGATGAGAGGCCATCCTGCCAAGAACTAGTGGACTTCTGTGATGGCTGCTCCCAGGCTGGGGGCTTTTATACTCCCTGCCCCCAAGCCAGGCTGCTGATCCCTGCCAGTCTGATTCCAAACCTGCTGATTCTGATTATTGACTTAGTCAACAAAGGGAGAATAAGTAACCCACACAAATATGAACCTTGTCTAGGGAGATTACAGCATCAGAACATTAGCTCTATGAAATATTCTTAACTGGTCATTTGACCAGCTAGATCACCAAAACAAAACAACCCAAACAAAACAAAATAGCTCTCCCTGCTTGGCGGATTGCAGTAGGGTTCTTGAGATATTTTTTCCCTTACCTATTTCTATGCATGTTTTCCATGCTCTGTACAATTTCTTTTATTGTAGATGATAGGCACGAGTTTCAATGATTTCCTTCATGTTAAGTAGCATTTAGCTGCACAGGCTTAAATACAGTGCATTAGAAAATTTCATGCACTAGATCTAAGTCCATGAACCATCAAGGAAAACCCTTGGTACTGCTTTATTTTTAAAAGGCTGTTTTAGCCAAACTAAGTCATTTGGAAGTTTTCTGTAGCACTTTCCCTATATTTTGAGTGCATGTGAGTGTGTATAAGATAAAAGTTCAGCTCAATCCAAGGAATAATAGTGTATTTCAAATTGACATTGATGAGCCTGAAATACAGAGAGAACCAAATCTTTAGTGTGTCTCCTCATTGGGCATGCAGGAACAAGGCTACCCACCTGGCTTTTGTCAGAATCAAAATTTCTGGAAGGAAATAGAGATGGGGAGAACTAGAAGCCACATTTGACATCATCACCTACCTCTGGGTGACTTACAAGTCCAGAAATTATAATAATTTGATGATTTATCAAGAAAGTACCAACTCCATGTGTATGTGGATATATTCATGACCTTGTTTATGGATAAATTAAGACAAGTTTTTGTCCTTATAGAAACAAATTTGTAAAAGATATAATAAAGGAGTAAACATTTTGGACAAATACATGTCAAGGATATGACCAATTTGGAGCACTGAGAGTTGAGGAGACATTCTTGGAGATGACAGAGCCTGGTTGGAAAGAAATCATGAAGGATAAGCACTTTCAGGGAGTCAAGAAAAGAACAGGAGGACATCGACTATGGAAATGTGCAGAAGAAGACTCATGGGAGCAGAATGACTTTGGGAAAGGAAGAAATCAATCCAGTTGACAGCACAACTTGGAATGGAATCTTCTGACTGTGGAAACAGATTGAATCTGGAACTAGAGGCCCTGAGTCACCCCATCCTAGTTCTGCTGCTCAATTTCCTGGATGATTCTTTGAGTTACTTAATATCTCAGACACTCATCTGACTCACTTGTAAGATAGAAATGCCTACTTTTGTACTTCAAAGAATTGTTCTAATAATCTTCATGAGATAACATAAAAGCATTTTGTAAACTATAAACCACTATTCTGCTGTAAAAGCATAGTGGTAATACATTATTTGGTTCAACATCTATGTCTAAGGAGAAAATCCTTTCTCTAGCATCTCTCTCATATATTGTCATTTAATATTGTCTTGATTATTTCCCATTACTCAGAACTGGGCTAGAAAGTGTGTTCTCTGACTATGAATTCTAAACATTTGAAAATTCCTTCATAATGCAGCAAAATATTCCATCTGTGCATTTTAGCACTACACTCCGTTCAAACCAAGAATCATCACCTATAGACCTTGTGAACTGGCAACCCTGAGCTGCCACCTGCCCATAGACACCAGCATTTCTTTAAGCAGCTTGACATAGTTGCTAAAATTAAAATTGGGACATGTTGCATAAAACTCTGGATTTCTGGCTTGTATTGAGAAATCAGAAAAGATGGTAGCAACTGGCCCACATTCACATGGCAACAATCAGCAATGTCCTTTGCTAAGGTAACATTTCTAGTGGCACTAGCATACTTGAGCTTTTTCTGTCTTTTTTTTTTTTTAAACACATGTCCTGTTTTTCTCATCTATGTTTCTGGCCAGCCCCTTGAAATTTTGAGTATGTGATTGATGTTCTTCCAACAGTCATTTAAGTAGTGAATGACAGCTTATTTTCTCCTTGCCAAATTGAAATCCCTACTTCTTTGAATGCTTCCCCTTCAGTCATAGTTCCTGGCATCTTTTCTACCCAGAAATTCATTCTCTGACATCTTGCCATTGGTCAATGTTTCTCTTCAGATGTGATGCACCGAAACAGACACCTGCTCCAGATAAGGTGAGATCAATACATAGGAGGTGGAGATGATGGCCTTCCTTGGTAAAGGCACTGTGCAACAGAAGTTGCACCCTGAGTACACTCATGACTGTAGTTTCTGTGATCCTCCCTGATCAGCACAATGCCCACTGTGATCTCTTGGACACAATGATAAAAAATAATCACAGTATATGCACCATCCTGTGCTTTGCTCAATTATCAATTTTATTTATTTATGCATTTATTTTTGGCTGTCATACTAAAACAACTTTATTTTGCATAACAAGTTTATATTTTTAAAGACATATAGACAAAACAAAGTAAACATTTAAACAGATTTTAACTTCTGTCCTAGAATTGTTCCATTAAGTGTCAATCTCTAAACATTTTTTTAGTTCAGTAATCATTAGCTTCAGCAGAGTCCATTACTTTTCTTCTGTTGAATTTAACTGTTGTTTTCTGTTTGTTGGTTTACTTTTTCAAGGATTTCTATTAAACCTTGTTCTGAGACCTTCCTACTTAGCTGTCCATACTTTGTCATCTGTATAAGGTAATTCTCTACTACTTTCGTTTTTTCAGGCTTTACTAGTGCTATTACTTAATCCCGGGGCTGATTGATCCAGAACTTGCGCTAAGATACTGTTTCTCATTTCTGCCTCCCTGTGCTTTGCTTCCTGTTGTGCTGCGTCGCTAGGATCCTGGTGTTTCACCTGCAGCTCAGCCAGCCTCTGTTTCCTCAGCTCCTCCAGCTTCCCGTCCGCCGTGGCACAACCATTGCGGGGCAGCAGCAGTAGCCACTGTCTGGCCCATCCGGAACGATCTCACGCAGGCCCCGCGGTGGCGCAGGCCCCTGCAGCGTTCAGGCTTCACTAATCCAGCCCAGAGCTACGCCCCCACCTCAATTATCAATTTTAACTTAAATGTGAGTACTCAAGTTTGTCCCTGATCCATCTCATCTTGTTAATTCCAACTCACACCCCATCTCATTGACATAATTTAACAGCTGACTCTGTAAGTCACTGAATTAGAGTGCCTTCCAAGCCATCTGTCCTTGGACACTTCGACTTGCTGGCCCTCTCAACTGTCATTGATCTGGAAATCATTAATAAAATGTGAATTCAAACCAGACAAGGAGTTGGACAGAAAGGCAGTTCAGAGTACAGGGAGGAGCCTGAATCTGATTGGAAAAATCACTGATAAATTTTACAGAGACAGAAGGTATTTTTAAGATTAAGAAGAGGAAATTGGAGGAAAGGACTAAAGATCTAATGTAGTCTGGAGTCAAAGTAAAAAGGAGAGGGGGCTTACAGTGTTTCAGGTGAGAGAAGAGAAAGGTTTAAGCAGGAAAGAAAAATAGAAAAAGAATAGGAATACATGATTTGTCAAAGGAATGCTTGCATGGAACAAATGGTAATGACACATGCAAGAGAAATCCAGTGTTTCTTGCCTGAGAGGCAATTGTGATGAGGGGGTTGGAGTGACAGACATAGGGTTCCAAAGATAAGAGGATCTGCCTTTCCTGTGTTTATTTGAGTTTGTGAAAGCTCTCCTCCAGGATGGTTACATGGGCTTTGCAGACTGGGATGAATTAAGGTCACTGGAGTCCTAAGAAGATGCTACCAGTGGCAGTGAAGCTCAGCCGGTCCCAGTACCTGGAAGGAAGCTCCCTGCCTCCATCCCAGGCTCCTAGGGCAGAGAGGGTGAGCCAGTCCCAGCACCCGGAAGGAAGCTCCCCACCTCCATCCCAGGCTCCTAGGGCAGTGAAGCTCAGCCGGTCCCAGCACCTGGAAGGAAGCTCCCCCACCGCCATCCCAAGCTCCTAGGGCAGAGAAGGTGGGCTGCGTGGGCACCAGAAGCAACCTCCCCCCCACCGTGGAAATGAGAAGACACATAAACAAGCCTCAAAAACAGACTTATGGATCACCTACAGCAACCCCAAAGGGAAACGAGATGGAAC